ACCACCTCTGACATGTAGCGTTGTGTCCCCCCACAGAGACAGCCAGCGACCAGCAGCTGTTCCAAGGCCTGTTGATCCGCTGTGTGGTGCAGCTGGAGCTCATCCAGACCATCGACAACATCGTCTTCTTCCCGGCCACCAGCCGCAAGGAGGACGCCGAGAACCTGGCAGTTGCCCAGGTAGGAGGGAGGATAGTTCGTCCACACTGTCTGGTGGAACAATTTCTTATTCGTCCCTCCTTTCTTTCCCCAAGCTGAGCCCCCCCCCCCCCCTCTTCCCTTAAAAAAAACCAACATATTTTTACTCCCTCATAGATGAAGGTGGGCTTTTTGGGAAATTGTTATCAATTTTTTAATTTTTGGCTCAACACCTTTCATGTCCTCTCCGTTTAAAAACACATTTCTGTGCGGAATTTACTGAAAAGCGTTATCAGGGCACAAATAATAATATAAATTAGTAATTTCCAAGGACTCAAGTTTTGAAAGTTACCCAAGCCATTTTCTCGCTAAATTTTCTCTGACACCAGGTGACTCCCCCCCCCCCTCCCACCTCCTTCAAAGACAAATAACTCTACTTCTATTCAAGATAAATGTGTATTTTCTTTAAAATCAAAAGAAAGACAAATAAACAGGCTCTAAGGTGATATAAATAGCTCCGTATGCCCCAAAATTGATGAGCGCCTGATTCTACCGCGTCGTGACACATATGCCCAAAAAATTGACGAGCGCCTGATCCTACCACGTCTTGACACATAGATCCATTCCCAAAAGTCTATGCCCGTCCGAAACCGCCGCGTCACAGTGCAATAATTGTGTTCTCCTGGTGGTCCTCAGGGCGGTGACGCAGACTCCCTGAGCGAGTCATACCACGAGCAGGGGGGCGGGGAGGAGCAGGGCATGTACCAGCACCTCTCCTCCAGCCAGCTGCTCATGTTTGTCGACTGTCTCCTCGAGTCGCACCGCTTCGCCAAGGCTTTCAACTCCAACCACGAGCAAAGGAACGTTCTGTGGAAGGCTGGTCAGTGGAATGCTCTATTGAATGTTTTTGTTCCCTCTCCCAAGTTTTTTTTTTGCATTGCATGAACTTCGGAGCTTTTATTTTTTGTTTTTTGTTTTATGCATATATGATTTATCTTTTATTTATCTTTGTTTTGTTTTGTTTTATGTGTATGCTTAATCTTTTATATATTTATTTATTTATTTTTGTTGTTTTATGTGCATGCTTCTACTCTAATCAGTGTAATTTAAATATCAGCTGGATTTAGAGGAACCAAGGGCCACCCACATCGATAAGTGTAATTAACTCACAGGGCTGCATATTCTGCTGGTCATCCAACCGTGCTTGAAGACACTCTGAGTTAGAGCACATCAAAAAAGGAAGCATAACTTCTTTATTCATTTGTAGATTTTTAAATTATCTTTATCTGATACTTAAAAAAGCTCACAACAACATGCATGCATACAATGAAATGTGCAAATTCTTGTGTCTGATTTAAGTATGATGGTTTGAACTGTGCCGCAGTCTAAAACTTTGCTCATGGTCTTCTGTGGGTCGTAAGAGTTAACGGGTGCTCTAGTGTGAGCTTCTATTTTTTTTTTCAGTTTTGTTATTGATTTTCGCGTGTTAATCATGTACTGTGTCCATTATTGTAACAAGTTATTGTAAATTGTAACTCAAACTTATTCCTTTTTTACTTTTTAACTTTTTTAAAAGTTTACACTCCCATTTGTTACTGTTTTGAAAGCCTGTCAGATATCAGTTTACACTCAAGCCTGTCAGATATCAGTTTACACTCAAGCCTGTCAGATATGAGCTTACACTCACATTTCTTACTGTTGTGAAAGCCTCCCACGTTTGTTGTCTTCCCCCGCAGGGTTCAAGGGAAAGGCCAAACCGAACCTCCTGAAACAAGAGACCCAGAGTCTGGCTTGCTTGTTCCGCATTTTGTTCCGTGTCTACGATGACAACAGTCGCCAAAAGGCCTGGCCAGAAGTGGAACAGAAATTGCTTGGGTAAGAAAGAGCCCGTAATGTATTTTTAAAAAATTCCTGTAAGGAGGTTAGTAGGTACCAGAAACTAAATTTTCAAAGTAGCTGTTTGCCAAATTTATCTGTTCCATTTGAAAGGCCTATATCCACTGAGCATTTTGGTACAATTCTTTAACCTCTCAGTCAATTTTCAATCTAATCTGCCTGTGTCTGGGAATTTTTTTTTGTGTGTCCAAACTTCTGCATTTCTTTCTTTTGGAAACTCTACATAATGTCCAAATGAGAACGACTCCGAATAATCTTATGATTTAGATAGAGCCGATAAAACATATGCTTGAGGTATGTTATTTTTTGTGTGTCAATATATACATAGCCTTAGTGATGAACATTTAGTTCCTCCTGCCACTTTAGTTGTTGGTCTTTCTGCTCATTTCCCGGACAAGAGTCCGTTCCGTGTTGTGACCATCTGCTTTGTAGTGAGTATTTTCTAAGGGACCTTTTATTAGCAGACAGTACTATTTACATCCTGCCTCCTCAACTCAAGCAGACGAATTATGTGTCTTTTCTGTCTCTTGAGGTAGCATGAAAGATGTTCCTTTTAAAAAGAATTTTTAAGATTTGTTCTCACACACACAAAAAAGAATCCAATGACAGCCTGGGTCATTTAGTACAATCTTTGAATATACAGCTTGTATATCGAGTGTGATTCTTCTTTAGAAAGGGCAAGGTTTAATAAATGTGTTTTTACAAGGATGGTATCGGGCACAGATGTTCCCCGCCTCCTAAGTAAAATTGTGTTGCATAATCGCCTCTTACAGGAACCAAAGTTGAATAGTACACAAATAAATTTCAGATGTATTCTACAAGCCATATTTAAAATTGTGGTTATAATATGTTAATATTTATTTGAATTTGTGGTCCCAAAGACCTGTGTCACCATCTCATTTCGCCCTCCTGAAAAAAATTTGTCCACAAGCCGAAAATAATACGTAGCTAATGAGTTATACAACCCCTTTTCTACTTGACAATGGCTGGCCACCTTGAATAATTTCAACTGTATAATATTTCACATGAGTGATACGTAATACAGGTGTGTGTGTGTGTGTGTGTGGTGTTTATGTATGCTTTAGGGTGTGCATGAGTGATACTCTGTGTGTGTGTGTGTGTGTGTGTGTGTGTGTGTGTGTGTGTGTGTGTGTTTAAAATAA